TGAAGCCGATGTGCTCGTGGGCAGAGAGTTGACTATTCCTTCATCATTCATCATCAGCAATAGGCGAACCTGCTTCCCTTCTCCTTTGCTTCTGCTTTTTTTTTCCAGCTGCTGTCTTCATTTCTCTCGTTCATGCTGTATGCGTGTATTGTTGCTGCCTGTTTGTCATCTTCTGGGGACACTGCTCTTCCTTGCTGACTTGTTGAATGCACCACGACGTGCCGTGTCGTGTCGTGCACATGCACATGAAATGGCATGTCTTTCGTTTGGTGTTGGCGAAGTGAAGAATGCGGCGTGTGCGAGGGATCTGTGATGAATGTTTGCTTGACGAACGTGTTGTTCCCTTCTTGTTCATGTTGCCGTTTGTTTATCTTTGTTGCTTGACGGGTAAACACCCCTCTTCTTCACCCTCTTCTTCCTCTCCGTCTATGCCTGATGTGATGACTTCTCATACACGAATAAGTCAAGTGGACTCCTCCGAAACGAAACAGCACCACACCACCACACAACACAAGATATGCCAACAACACATGCACACGAAACAAGCTGCGCATGCAAGTCGCATTGTGCTTGCTAGTCTGTTAAGGATGGGCTGACACTGACCTCTTCAAAGCACTCAATCACGTCCTCCTGCAGCCGGGACATGTGTGTGTGTGTGATGAGAAGTAGGGGACGCGGTGAAGACGATGACACACACACACACACACACACACACACACACACACACACACACACACACACACACACACACACACACACACACACACGCACACACATGTGCGTCCCCCCCCCCGCCACACACACACCACCACCACCACCATCCACACTCATTGAGGCATGCACGACGAAGAGCATTGGCACGCGACTCACCTCCTTCAAGTCGTCAAACTCCAACAACTGCAGTCCACACTCCATCCCCTTGGCCGCAGTTCCTATGTCATCCTTGCCCTGCTTCAGACTCGCCGCCCGCCCTGCCCATAGTGGGTGGTGGTGGTGGTGGTGGTGGTGGTGGCGGTGGTGGTGACGCAGAGCGGTGTGCTAGGAAGGTGAGTTTGAGTGTGGAGGAGGATCAAAACGTTTGCGCTTGCAGAATGTGCGACATACGACTCGGCAAGCAAGCCACCGCTGACCTTCGAAGATGAGGTTGTTCTTGCGGAACACACGGAACACGCCCTTCCGCACCATTGATCCTTTCGTCACGCGCAGGCCAGCTGAGATGTACGCACATGTGGTGTGTGAATAAACAAATGGCAAGATGTACAGCACCACACGGTGTACAACTGTACATGCACACATGCACACATGCACACATGCACACATACACACACATATGCACACAAATGCGGTGCACTTTGTGACTGCAGCGGGAGAACAACGCACCGACAATGGCAGACTTGCGGCCCGTGAGTTTGAAGACCTGCAACACCTGCGCTGTGCCCGTGCTGTTGAGCTGCACCGTCTGTGGAAGCAGAGACGCCATCCGCTCTTGCAAATCGTCCAGCAGCTTGTAGATGACACTGGTAGCGGTGGTGAGCAGTGGTTGTGAGCAATGGTGGTGATGGTGGGGAGGAAGAGGAGTGCCCACACACGGAAAGGCAACAGATCCACAGAAGCAAACGTCGACACATCGTGAACAAACACCGCGTCTCTTCCCGCCGCCACCACAGCAGGGATGGACACCTGTGTGCCATGTAGTGCAGGCCTGCACTCTCGACCATGCGTGCCTCTGCCTTGGACTCGCCGATGCCAAACGTGACCAGGTCCGCTGGTGGGGGAGTGAGGGTGGTGATGGAGAGATGAGTGGAGTGAGTGGTGATTAGTGAGGTGAGCAGGGGCAAGAAGAAGTGAGTGGGTGGAGTTGAGAAGAAGGGAGATGGTAATAACAGCACAGAGATTTCTCAGAAGACTGCCAGCGAGAGTGGAGACGCCAAGTGACCACAACCACCATCACGCCCAGTGCAGCGTACTCCACGGTGAACTGAATACTCACCGTTGAACGACTTTGCCAGCTCAACATCTGACTCCGTGATGGGACCGACGCCCAAGCGCACGACAGCACACTCGACTGCACATCCGCATTGGTGTTGTGTGTGTATGGTTATGAAAGTGAGTGTGAGGGAGGTCGTGGTGATGAGCAGTGAAAAGTGTTGTGTGACACGCTCGCACCATTCAAGCGCACGCAAGCACCACCTGCAACCACCACTACTCTTGCACACGCCAGACACGGCAGCGAGCGTACCTTTGTTCTGTGGAAGGCCATTGATGAGCTCCAAAACAGCCTCTGTTGTCCCCTGCACGTCCGTCTTCACGACAACGGAGTACACGGGGATGTCAGATGCATTCGCATCCGCCTGTTCGCGCGATTTTGGGGGGGGGGTGAGGCGACGAGGTTGTGGATGTGAGCTGAACACACACGCTGATGGCGCGTGAAGTCAAGAATACAGGGCATGTGAGGGCACGATCACACACGTGCGCGCGCAAACTTGCGTGGCTCATCATCACATGGGGGCAGCGTTCACCATCTCTTACCTCCTTGACTCGCGGCACAAACACGCGGCGGCGTCGGCGTCGGCGCGGCTGCTGCTGCAGCAGCAGTTCTCGTTCTTCCTGCTCCTGTTTCCGGCGCTCCTGTACGCGCGCGCGCGCGTGTGTGTGTGTGTGTGTGTGTGTGTGTGTGTGTGTGTGGTTGTGGAAGGGGGAGGGAGAGTGTGTGTAAGCGAGAGAGGGTGCATGTAAGCGAGAGAGAGAGTGTGTGTGTGTGTGCGAAGTCGACGCTCAAGTACAACATACAACAGGGGCAAGCGTGAGCGACAGACGGCAGGTGCATGTGCAAGGGGGCGGGTGAGCTCACGTCGACAATTTCCTTGACGGAATCAAGTTCCTCCAAGGATTTGATGTTCTCATTTTCTTCCGCCAGACGCCGTGCCGCCTTCTGCTCTCAATCCACAGACAGTCAAGGTTGGACAAAGGAGGGGGGGGGGCGGTTACAGGAAGGTGGGGTTGTGTTCTGTGTGTGTGTCTGTGTGTGTGTGTGTGTGTGTGTGTCTGTGTCTGTGTCTGTGTCTGTGTGTGTGTCTGTGTCTGTGTCTGTGTCTGTGTCTGTGTCTGTGTCTGTGTGTTCAAGGTGGTTCAGCTTGGATCTGACTGCTTCTACATGTGTGTGTTCGTGATGGCGCAGGTGGCGCTTCTGCCAGTCCCTGTCATGTCATCGCACCTCGTTCTTGACGACTTGGAATGCGGAGCCAACATCCGGCAGCTCCTTCCATCCCATCACTTCAACAGCAGTGGACGGCGGGGCCGTTTTCACACCTGACACATCCAAACGCGATCGCCACAGAAAGACAAACAAAACATCGTCAACACACATGGAACAAAGACAGGTCGTGCAACGATTTGTGAAAATGTGAGATACGCGGCTGTTGTTGAGGATGATGATGTTTGAGCTGTCAGCACATTCTCACACAAGCACACACACACACACTCACACACACACACACACACTCACACACACACTCTCTCTCTCACACACGCGCACACACACACGCGCGCGCGCGCACAAGCACACACACGTGCGTACACACGTGCACAAGAGAACGTGATTGACCCAATCTCACGTTTGCCAGCGTCGTCCGTGAGGGCTTTGATTCGACCGAAAACCGTGTCCGCACACACGAAATCGCCAACTTTGAGCGTTCCGTCGCGAACGACAACAGTGGCGAGTTGCCTGCAGGCAATGAACAAAGAACACGTGCAGTTGTGCAATTGCAAGTGCGCGCATGTCAACGTCAGACCATATGAGTTCAAGAGATGCATGCGCAGGCATAAGCACGAAAGTAGACAACGTGCACGGTGTGTGTGTGTGTGTGTGCGCGCGCATACTATGCTCCAGCAGCCCACCAACCCTTTGTGCTTGTCGGTCCTGCTCTCAATGACAACGCCAGTAGCAGGCGCAGTCCTGTTGCGTGCACGCACACACACACACACGCACACACACACACGCACACGCACACACACACACACACGCACGCACGCACACGCACGCACACGCACACAGACACACGAACACATCACGTGCACGTCACAGGAGTGGATGTAGGTGAGGAAGGTGACGGGTGCACAGCGAAGGGAGGAGAGCAGAAGACAGAGAAAAGGAGACACTGTGTGTGTGTGGGTGGGTGTGTATGTGTGTGTATGTGTGTGTGTGAGTGTGTGTGAGTGTGTGTGTGTGTGTGTATGTGTGTGTGTGAGTGTGTGTGAGTGTGTGTATGTGTGTGTGTGCACGTACGGTGAAGCTGTGAGTTCGGCCATTTCCGCCTGCAGAATAATCGCTTCCTTCAGTTCATCAAGATGCAGCCGCTGTACGCAGAGCAGAGGGGACGGGTGTTGCGTGGTACACAATGCATGTTTGAATTTGCGCACGCGAGAGAGAGGGAGAGACACACAGAGACAGAAAGACTGTCAATACTCAGGCGTCCACACATATGCAAAGGCAAGCGTGCATCGCAACTCACGTGCAGCGCCGACACTTCCACTGCTTGCACGTCTCCGCCAAACTCTTCCAACCTGAAAACACGCGGACATGCACACACATATGGATGTGACAACGAATGTGATAACGTATTTGTGTCTGTCCAACGCACACAGGTGTATTGATACGCTTGTGTATGAGTGTATGAGTGTGCGCGCGCGCGTATGTGTATGTGTGTGTGTGTGAGTGTGTGGGTGTGGGTGAGCGTGTTTGTTTGCTTGTTTGTTTGTGTATGAGTGCGCGTGTGCGCAACTGACGAGAGGTCGTGTTGCATGAGCTCCTGCTTAACGCGTTCGGGCTCGGCGTTGTCGCGGTCGCACTTGTTGATGGCAACGACAACCGGCACTGCAAGCAGGCAGGATGGAAGGAGGCAGACAGAGAGGGAGACGGATAGAGCGAGAAATAATGCAAACTGTGAGCAGCTGCTGGGTGCACACACACCACAACGTGCAAGGTGTGTTGGGATGCACAGAGTACTTCACACACACACGCACACACACGCACGCACACACACGCACACGCACACACACACGCACACAACCGACCAAGCAGTGAGGTTCGTACCATTTGCGGCCTTTGCGTGTCGAATGGACTCGAGGGTCTGGGGCATCACGCCGTCATCAGCAGCGACGACGAGCACAATCATATCCGTTGCACTCGCGCCGCGTGCCCGCATGGCCGTGAACGCCTCGTGGCCAGGCGTGTCCAGGAACGTAATCGTGTTGCCTTTCGTCAGCGGCACTGCGCCCATGTGCGTGTGTGTGTGTGTGTGTGTGTGTGTGTGTGTGTGTGTGTGTGTGTGTGTGTGTGTGTGTGTGTGTGTGTGTGTGTGTGTGTGTGTGTGTGTGTGTGTGTGTGTGTGTGTGTGTGTGTGTGTGTGTGTGTGTGTGTGTGCCCGCCACCTTGTCTGTCTGTCTGCTCGCTTGCTTGCTTTTGAATACACGCTTCATCCCCCACACATATGCACGCGCTGAAGCTGTGTAACAAACGCCCCATGTGCAATGACGATGATAGAGAGGACAGAGAGGACAGAGAGGGCAGGACGAAGAGGAAAGAGAGAGAGAGAGAGAGAGAAAAGATAGCAGAGAGGGGGAAGGCAGGGATGGCGCAGAGAAAGAAAGAGAGAGAGAGAGCGCGCGTGGAGAGAGGGAGAGAGAGAGAGATGTGAAGCTCACACACGCACACACACACACGCACACACGCACACACACACCTTCAAATCACACATAAACACTTACAACATACAAAAGCTACGACTGAAGGTCACTGACAGCCTTGCATGCGTCCTTGAGCGTGCTCACCAGGTCCTGCAACTCTGCCACGTTGCACGTGAACTCGATCGTCTTGCTCTCACCAGCATTCTGCACACGCACATACACACACACGCATATGTGAGTGAGATGTGAACAGTTGCATGATATCATGAAACCGAAAGCACGGCATACACACGCCTAACACGCACACACTCACGCTCACACTTACACTCACACTCACATCCAGCTCACACAGATACACTCACACTCACACGCACACGCACACGCTCACGTACACACAGCCACATCCTATCCCCCTCCCATTGCTTCCCGCTCCCCGCTTCCACTGACCTCGGTCTTCAACGACACGGTGTAGAGTGGCTCCTGGATGCTTTCGAGGTTGTTGCCTTTGGTCGTGTGATCAAGGCGCCACTTCACGTCGACGACATGCGGCAGCTCAGATGCCAGCCTGACAGACAGCAGGCAAAGCCCACACCATGATGACATGAATGAAGATGAGTTGACGACCCATGTTCACGGAACGGGGTACATCAATGTCCTCCCACACATGCGTCGAGAACACACGCAAACCACACACACACACACACACACACACACACACACACACACACACACACACACACACACACACACACACACACACACACACACACACACACACACACACACGTGTGAGCACAGTCAGCACTCGCTTTCGTACCGTCGCAAATGTGATCTCGCCACTGTCATGTTCTCCTGATGCACGCGTCAAGCAAACAGACAAGTTCAAAACACACACACACACACACACCAGTCACGACTGGTGTGAGCTAGATCGATGGCAGGACAGCAACCAGCCCAGGAGATCAAAACCAATCAAACGAGCGAGAGCCAGCCCCAAGCCTTCAAACATAAACAAAATACGCACACATACATACAGGCACGCACCTGATATGCGGTCACCACTTGCTGTGCCCTGGACTCGCTGAAGCTGAGGTCTTCCAACAGTGAACTGTGGTAGTAGAGACAGACATGTTCACAGCAAGGAAAACGGGAGAAATCAACAAAACGTACGAGCAAACAACCCAGATGAGCAAGCATCAAGGGTGTGTCAAGACAGGCTTCCATTGCGGCAATCGCGCTGCAAGCACAGAACACACAACCACAAACACAAACAACATGTGAAACACAACAATCGCATGAAACAGGTGTCATCGCACCTCAGGGATTCGGCTGTGGCTTGTTGTTTGCATGCCTCTGCCAGAAGGGTCACGACACCTGCGTGTGCCTGCTTTGCAGGGCGGTCCAAGTCGTCCACATCTAGTTCCATAGCACAGTCACATTCCAAATACGTGTGAACACTATCGTCAATTGCACAACGCAATACACACAAACAACACAAGCCAAGATAAGATGTGCACATGAAAACGACTCGTGTACACCAACACAGCCCCAACACACGCCTCTCGCAACAGTTGAACACAAAATGCGGTGTGTACCTTCGTCGCTGCTTTGTTGTGTCAACGCGCTGGCTGCATGCCTGAGCACCTTGCTGAACGTTGGGTCTGGCACCTGGCTGCTGTCTGCTGCCACCCTCAACTCCTCCTCCACTCTGTGCGCAAGCTCCATCGTCGTCTTTGCGGTTGCGGAAATTTGTTGCTTTTCTTTCGCCATTTCTCTTCAATCGCAGCAGTCAGCGATGTCGGACGTGCACACCCA